CTTTATTAACAGTAGTTATTATTAGTAACATCTGCGTACGTCGGTTACTCAGGCTAACCAAAATAGCTCTCTTTGTTCTCTAAACTACGCTAAGTTAAACATAACATAACTCATTATACATTTATTTAAAATCAATTAAAAAAATAAAACCGACGCCGTATTTCGAGTAAAAAGAAAATCATAGACCGCGCTTGGAGAACACACATAAATGGGAGTTAATACAAATAATTGTCACCGAGGAATGATTGCTTCCCTTGATAGCTGACATTAACGATAACTCAAGAAATGAATTCTCTTAATTTCTTCTCGGTTACTTCCCATGTAAAATGTTTAAAAAATGCATTTGTTTTATAAAATCCAGTTACTTCCCTTAATTTGGAGGTGATGCATTTTTCATGGCTATTAAAAGCAAATTATAAAAGGAAATTAGAGAGTTAGAAACTTTAAGTCAAGTTGCTTTAATAAATAAAGAAGCATAACTTTTATTATGTGCATTTCATCAGAACAGGCAATTTCTTACTATGCTGTGTATAACAATTAACACATGTCATGACAAATGCCCCTGAAGGAATGGCGCCATTTCATAAAAGAAATGCCAATTTCTATTCCCACCACAATATGTGTATTTGTTGTTCTAGTCAAGAAAAGTATATCGTTTTAAACATCTTTTATTTGTTCTAAAAATCAAAACATTTGTTCAAATAATGTTTTATGGTAATTAGTAGCTGCAAAGTTTCAATTACAATTTTGTTGCATGAAAAAAAGATAAATATATTCTCGTATTCAGTTGTAGAGACAATAAATCCTTTGAGTAATTATAATTAGGGTATGCCACTCTGCTAGTTAATTTAAATTTGTTAAAAATGAGTTTTGGCACTTGTACTGATTGTAAGAAATTTTTTCATATTGTTTAGCTAAAAAAAAACAGATAAATAGGCCAAGCAGTGTAGAAGAATCCAACTTCATGAACATTAACTAACAATAAAGATGTTTTGTTTATAAACTGGAACCATAGTGATAGTGAAAGACTTAAAAGACAAAATAACTATAAAAGATTATCATGTCAAGAGAAAGTAACAGTAACAGGGTAGTTTTAAGTCATCTGTTGTTACAAATGTTCTATTTTGTGAGAAAACGTAACAATATTTATTTTTCAACTTATTTGCTCTAATGACAACACAAGCTAAGCAATTGTAAAGTAATATTAACATAAATCTAGTTTAAATTTGTAAAAAAAAGGGGAAACATCTAATTGTAAAGTAAATAATAAGCAAATATGATATCTAAGAATACACTTAAAAGTTAAAATAATTAGCATTAGACAAGTTAAAAATTCTTAATAGTTAAGAAATATAGAGAGGAAACAAGGGGAAGCATATTACTGTTTTGGCCACATTTTAACATTTGCATTTGTCTCTTAGGTACAATTTTAAATTTTGTAAGCCTAAATTAATATGACTAATGAATACAATTTTTACAATGCTAAATAACAACTAGCAAAGATTATATAATATAATCAAAACTCTTATGCTTAATAACAAAATTGCTTAAAGCGTTAATGTATAAGCCTATAGCTTAGGCCTAGGCTATAGAATTCAAAATTATATACCTTCAGTCCTAAATAATAGGCTTACACTGGAACGGAAAGGCTTATTAGAAATCAATTCAATTAAATTAGGCTAATCAATTATAGGGCCTAATAAGTATTATAGGTAAACCCTCTCTTCGGAGAGCCACAATATTAAAATAATCAATTTTAAGAGAAAAATAAAGTAGGCCTAAATAATGTAAACTACACTGCAGACAATTACCTGAATCATTAAACCTATTAATTAACAATTAGGCCTACCTAAATTATGTCTTATTACAACTTAGTGCTAGATCTAGTCTGAGTTTCAAGACTAAATAAGTTCTGAAGTGATCTAGCAAAAAGGAAAGTACTTTTTTTAAAAGTAGCCTATTCCTAGTATTATTAGTCAACTTTATAAAATGTGAGGTGTAGGCCTAAATTTTTGTATTTTAACTATAGTTTTATTAAGATCTAGCTTGTTAAGTTTAATAAAAAGAAAACTAATAGGCCTACAAAGACAAAAGTAAGCAGTAAATCTACTAATCTAGGCCTGCCACAAGCTATCAAAATCAAAGCACAGGCCTAGATCTAAATAATAGGCCATAAACGTGTTAGGGCCTATTTATTCTTTTAAACTAGAGTCTAGATCTAGATCTCTAGATCTAGAAATATAACTAAAAACTTAATTTTACTAAATAAACTAGATCTAGATCTAGAATCTAGATCTATTCTTTACTATCCCAACACTCATGTTTCTAGTCCCATGTCCATGTAATCGTAAGGCTAACTATCGACACTACACATCTAAAATACAGCAAGTAGTTTATTTCTGAAACATTTGTGAACATTTAAATATATGATTAACATACTTAATAGTCTACATAACGGTCGAGAATAGATGAGCAACGGTAACGGACACACAGGAAATAGTGATATTCATCGTTAGTCGACCACTTCCTGGTTTGTTGAGGATCAATGACAATGAGCTACATAGTGGTTGTTATCGGTGAATCGTAAATCTAAATTTCTTAACAGACAAACATATATTATTGTAAGACGAATCGAAAGAAAAGTAGCCTTACCGGCTTGTATTAACAGTTCAAGACTCATCTGTGGTGAAATAAGCCGTTTCGGGTGACTTACGTTCTCTGCCATGTTCGCTACCTACGGTATTGTTATTTCTAATATTATTCCGCCGTGTAAAGGTGACGAAACCGGAAGCAAACTAGAAAACAGTGTAGTTCATACACGAAGCGCCAGGTAAAGGGTCACTTATTTTTAAGTCGCGTTTTAAATCATACAGAATATTCCAGTTAGCTTCATAATCAACATTGTTTTTGTTAAACAGGCACGATTAAAGAGAATTAACAGTATTCTTCGCGGAAGTGTTAAGTCGAATATCGGAGTGAACTGGCTAGGAGTAACAAGTTCGATCGTGACCTCTAACCTCTGACAACACGTGTGTAGACAGATGGCAAAAATACAAACAATACGGAAGTGGGTTCCTTTATAATTTTCCCTTTGTTGGTGGGGCTCAAATAAATATAGAATATTAAAGAATTAACATATTTCTCTAAAATATTTTAATACTCTTTACTTTATTATTACTTTAATTCAAATGGCACACATAAAATGTGGTTTATTTATTTTAATTAGAACAGGAAACACGTTAGGCATACTCTTAGTCTTAGCAGAACAAAGCCGAGCAAATGAGCCTAGCTAGAGGCTAAAGGCGTACTGTAAAAAGTGTTTTAGCAGACTCGATAATGAGTAAATTAGTTTCAAAGATAGTAAAATAAATAATGTTCTATGAAAGGAAAAGACATTTCTTGAGTTTATATAAAACGGCTACTTGATGTATGCAGTAGATTTTTAACAAAAATAATTATTTACATATTTTAAATCATAAAACGTGTATCGATTAGTGAGTATCGTCTCTAACTGTATACGAACCGTTAGGTTAAGGGATAGAATTAGGGACGAAGTAATGTTTAGGTAATAATATATGTAGGCCTACCAAATGAGTAGGCCTACACAGACAATATACGACTAGTATGAAAAGGCTACTTTGCTATAGGCAGTACAATGTCATTATAGTAGATTCACATTTTCTTTTTACATTTATTAAAACTAGAGTCTAGATCTAACATGAGTGTAGGTGTATGTATCCAATCATCACCAACTAGATAAAAATGACTGAAAGGGCGGTACGTTAAACTAGCTTGTATAAAAAATATATTCTGCATTGTATCACACAAAGAAAATGACAGTTTTTTGTTATTAAACTGGTTGGTCCTACTTAGTGGGCAACACGGCCATCAGAAGTATCGAGTATTTTTTTGTATCGGTGTCAAGCCAGGGACTGAATAAGGGTGAGATTTAGGCTAGGGAAGGAAAAACAGTTAAAATAAAAATAAAATCGTTAAGGCCACGCCGGCGACCACTGTAGTAGGACTACTTTTAATTTACATAACGGCCTATTATTTGATTGCTTATTTAAATATTTTTAAATTTTTTTAGCAGGAATACAACAACACTAGAGCCTTATAAACCATATATAAATATAAGATTAAATGCTAAAAAAAATATTAAAAGTTTATGGATAATTTTAGGAATAATTTCTTCTGTAATTTGGTTCAAGTTAGTAATCTAGGCGAAATAAATTGAATGTCTACCACGTTAGGGAGTTTGAAAATTGTATTAGATCTAGTCTATTAGAAGAAATAGGGCCTAATATAACTTCAACAACGTCAGCTTTTTCTAGCTTCTAAACAAATATTAATATGCATTGAATGAACTACTGATAAATGTTTTGTAAAATATATATATATATATATATATATATATATATATATATATATATATATAAGCAATTGGAAGTTTTATATTGGGGTTTGAAGTTCTGAGTTTTATCTAATAGAAGTTAATAGTTCAAGTCAACAAAGACAACTTAGAGCTAAACAAGCACAATTTATAATATATATATATATATATATATTTCCTTGTTTAGAAATATTGCACTGAATATTTAGTTAAGAACGTTGAATCAGTATTGCCCATAACAAAACTTGATTAGATGTAAACCAGAGTTTACAGAAGATAACTGTGCTCAACACATTTTTCAAACATAGTGAATGCATGACTGCATCTGATTTTTTGAAAGTGAATTTAAGTTAGATATTCTACCCCTGGGTTAGTTATATAATGGGGCAATTTGCAATGTTGAAGAAAAAGAAGAAAAAAAAAACAACTGCCTCCCCCACATACAAGAGGAAATGTGACTCAATGCACCAAGGTTGGAAAAGAAATTGCAACATAATTAGAATACCCCAATCATATTAAGAATATGTTTTAAAATTGCTGTACCCTGTTCATACTTAATAGAATAAAACCTAGTAAATAGAGTAAGATTTAAAAAAAATTGCCTTACCATTGTCATCATCATCATCCATCTCATCACTGCTGCCACTGCTGCTGCTGCCTGATTCATCATCATCATCATCATCACTGCTGCCAGAAGAAGAGTCAGAATCACCATCACTGTTCTCATCATCATTGTCCTCATCAAAATTATTATCCCCTGCATCGTTAACATCCATATTATACACAGTATTTTCCATATAGTCCTCATCAATTATACCCCTACGTCCAGAGAAAAAGTTAATATCCGTGTAACTATGAAATCCAGAATCATCACTTTCTGCCCCTGGGTCTGAGAAGAATTTAGTGTCCAGTGGTGATATGTCCGCAGGCAAGAAGCCGCCTGTCAATTTATCACAATTGATGTCCAATGAATCTGCATCTAAAACGTGAAGTCTTTCACTCAGTAATTCAACAAAGTCTCTGGGTTGAGGTAGGACGATGACGGATGGGTTCGTTTCCTAGAAAAAAAATTCAAAATAGTACATTTAAAAAAAAATAAAAATTTAAAAATAATAAATAACTATAATGCAGGGGATATAACCAGTATTATTGCAAGTAAGTCTGCAGTCCATAAACCACAACTCCGACTTATATATGGAAAAACAAAATACAAGAGTTATTTCCCTTCGTTTACTTCATTATTATCGAGGCAAGATTTTCAATAGAAATATTTCAAACAAGTTTTTTTTCCCCCGATCGATGCTCAATTCTGTATGCCTTTGTTTCCAGAAGTAAAAATAATCGTGAAGCATACCATTGATGTCAGACAACAATTAATAATTTAAAAATCAGCCAATCGATAGAGGTCGGATACAACAATTAATCGATTTTTTACAAACCAAACCAAGAAATTATCCAGTCTCATTAAAATTAATTTTGGGTTTTTTATTTTACGATTGTTTTTTCTTTTTGTGTGTGTGCATAAATGGGGTAACGAAGTATTTTCCTCAACACTCAGACTACAAAGGAAGTGCTGTATTTCAAACAAACATATAAATACAAAGGCCTTAGTTAGAATAGTCAAGATTTAGTGAAGGTAGGGGTATAAAAACATTTACACACACGCACGCACACACATAATACAATAGATGTTTCTTATGAAAACAGACTGTAACGTTTTTATCCATCTAGTAATGTCAGTGTAATAAATTAGCATTATGGATACAGTAGTAGGTCTATAGCATCGAGAAACTTATCTTTGTAAACCTAACTTACTAATGTAATTTACTTTCAGCTGACTGTAATTACTTTAATTCAGACAATTGTGTTCACTGTGGTGAAAGTGCTATGTATAGCATAGGTTCAGAAGTTTAGTCAACGAAAACTCGTTTGAAAAGTTCGTCTATAAATAACTTTTCTGTCGGTGGTTCCCACCCTCAACCACAATCGGGTTCCTTCGCTCAATTTTTTTTCCCTCTACTGAAACAATTACCCCTAGGCAACGTCCCAGACAGCCCCGGGGGAAAAAAAAATCTGGGGAGACGATTGAATGAAACCAGCGACATTGATAGCTCGACCAGATTGGGCGGGCTGGTAATATAAAATTATGGATCAAAATTAGAAGCGAATGGCGAAACTAGTGATTAATATACATACAGGCCTAGAAAATGATGTATCGACCGTTAATATGTTTTGATCAGAGTTTCTTCCAGGCATCCCGAAAATTTTTTACCGCCCCCCCCCCCCCCCCGAACGAAATGAAATTTATATAATTTATATAGAAAATATATACTTCTAACAGTGTCCGCCCCCCCGAAGAAAGTTTACCGCCCCCCCCCCCCCCCCCGAAGATTTCAAGTGCACCCCCGGAGAAAAAAGTCTGGAAGAAACACTGGTTTTGATACCACCACTGATACAGTCTCGAGTGGATTAAACGCATTCTCAAGTGGTTTAAGTTTTACAGGACTAAAAATACGAATATATATTTTTTTACATACACACAAACCACTTGTTTGTCAACGATTGTTTATTGTTGTTTTATATTGAGGTCAAAGTTCAGATTCTATCGTTGGGAGTATTTAAAATATGTCTGTGTTGTTGGACGGAACAATCCCATCCAGTCTAGATTTATGGGTTCTTTAGGCTGGACGGGCCATTTATTTAGGATAGGCCATCTCTTGGTCATTTTTACAGATATTCTCGTATTGAGCTTCGACTAGTCATTAAGCCATTCACGTTTTCTATATAATTTTTTTTTTAAATTTTGTCCCGGGGTGGGGTGGACTTGTTCCTGGGGAGAAGTCTGAAAGAAACTGTTTAGATGGGATATTGGGGGGGGGGGGCGTTCAAGGTGAATAACCAGCTCCTTGTGGACATTTGGATAAAAACTGTGATGACTTATTGCAATTTTCTTTTGATATAAATTGTTAGCGTACATATACGCTGCTTAAAAAAAACCAGCATACCAGATCCTATGATCTAAATATAGAACAAGCATGCAGACCATTTTAACTGGCTGCATGACAAAAAAACCACACAGCACAACACAGCTTGTATATCAAGCTCGTGCTTAAAAGGCCTGGACCATCTTAACAACCAAGTGGCACTTGAGGGAAAGAGCTTCGGTGTACTTACATGCAAGGTGGTGAAGAGAATATCGCAGGTCTGCGGTAGAAAGGGGTCGTCCTTAATGTGGGGCTCCAGCCCCGATTCTTCAAGTACCTCCATGACAGTCGCAGGGAGGGCGTCTAAGTAGGGGGAGTCACTGCGTCTGGCTGAAGGAGTCACTGCGTCTATAGATCAGACAAATGAAAAACACATGATTCAACTGCGTGTACTAAATCCCTTTAATAATATGAGCTGACACAACACAAAACTTACTTAGCCGTGAACGAGTGCGTGTTCTAAAAATAGAAATCGGGAAGTTGAATAGCTGTCTCTGACTAAGGTAACAAAGTATTGGTAAAAATTTGAATATATTGATCTACAACTACAACCTAAATAACTGCTGTGTTGCGTGGAAATGTTAAAAAAAAAAAGCCAAAAAGGGTGCATAACTGTATTATTGTCAGTGTAGATTACAAGAATATCGTCATGCTAATAAAAGCATGCCATAAATTAGATACGCTTTAATTACTTTTGCTTAGAAGTAAAACACCAATATTTAATTTTTAAGAAAGTATTTCTGGTTTATAATTTCTGTTTATCATTTGTGCATGTAGAATAATTGTAATCAAGTAATCAACACGACCACGCCTAATGTAGTGTTACACTAGCTATAACGAAGAACCAAAGGAGCAAACAGCAATAAACACAGGTCTATAAACTTTATGTAATCGATAAGTTATTTTATGGTGGTAATGCGAGTCAGCATCGACACTTAGATACCATCAGCTGACGTTTTACAACGTGGTGTATCTGGGTCGGTGAAATAAGCATCTGAATGTAACGTAATCAAACATCTATGTGGGGATATACAATCAAACAGCTAAATATGTGGGGATATACAATCAAACAGCTAAATATGTGGGGATATACAATCAAACAGCTAAATATGTGGGGATATACAATCAAACATCTATGTGGGGATATACAATCAAACATCTATGTGGGGGTATACATTGAAACAGCTAAATATGTTGGGCTACACAATCAAACATCTATGTGGGGATATACATTGAAACAGCTAAATATGTGGGGCTCTACAATCAAACATCTAACTATGTAGGCCTATACAATCAAACATCTAATATGTAGACCTATACAATCAAAAATGTGTATATGTAGGCCTATAATATAAAACAATTGTATATGTAGGCCTATACAATCAAACATTTGAATGTGTAGGTCTATACAAGCAAACATCCAAATATGTAGGCCTATACAATCAAACATTTGAATGTGTAGGTCTATACAAGCAAACATCTAATATGTAGACCTATACAATCAAACACTGTATATGTAGGTCTATACTATACAATCAAACATTTGAATGTGTAGGTCTATACAAGCAAACATCCAAATATGTAGGCCTACACAATCAAATATTTGCACATGAGTACAATCGAACTGCTGTTTGTTAAAAGACGGGTCTGCCTCTGGTCACAGAAAGATAAGTTCTTTTATAATGCAGTCTTTTGCTTTACAAACAGCGGAACACGTTTACATTTATATATAACAGCATCCTGAAAATTATTTACCGAATAAGATAAAAACAGCATCCTGTAACCCCTCTCCACCTCATTCCATCACTTAAATGAAATAGGAAGGAGACGAATCAGCAATGCAAATGAATGCAGTATTAAGTCTTAAACTAGAGTGAAAGCTTTGCACATTATATATTTAGTGCATTTACTATACGATTGTAAAGAGAGCTGAACTATAAAATCAATTAACCCGATCGTTAGGAGCTGTGTACGTGTGTATAAATACCAAACTTTAATTTTCACAATGTGGTTTGAGTGTTATTATAAATAAAATAAAAATGTCCGCGATATAACAAGGATTTAATAAAAAATGTTACAGCCACTTGAAAAACCAACACGCTCAGAATACAGTTACACAATTGTGGACAGGCTGAGAACACAGTTACATATTTTGTTAACACGCTCAGAATACAGTTACACACTTTTTAACACGCTCAGAATACAGTTACACACTTGTTAACACGCTCAGAATACAGTTACACACTTGTTAACACGCTCAGAATACAGTTACACACTTGTGAACACGCTCAGAATACAGTTACACACTTGTCAACACGCTAAGAACACAGTTACACATTTGTTAACACGCTGAGAACACAGTTACATATTTTGTTAACACGCCAATAACACTGTTACACATTTGTTTACAGGCTAAGAACACAGTAAAGTAAAGTTTCCCTTTCAAACCTGACGGTCTATGGGGCAAGTGAAGTAGAGTTCACTTGTTTCTGTGACCTCGGCATATGAAGAGATAGTGTGGTCAGCACTATGCCCAGCCGCCTTTACTTTCCCAAACGAGAGTTAGGTACCCATCAGAGATGGGTGGACTCAGGGACGTTCTACTGACTTGTACCCGGATTCGAACTCGAGACTTTCGGGTTAACAGTCCAGCTCTCTACCGCTAGACCACTCCGTCCCATAAGAACACAGTTACACGTTTGTTAACACGATGAGAACACAGTTACATATTTGTGGACAGGCTAAGTTACACATTTGTTAACATTGCCGCAGGTGGAGATGTGTAGAGAAAATTAAATGGGTTCGGTTACATCATTTATTTTTAAAGTTTTCACCAAGAAAGATTATTTCATTACGCTGGGCAGAAATTTTTTTTTTTTTTTAAAAAGTTAGATTTAACAAAATAGCTGTAGTTTTTAATGCGCTCTTGAATAGCCTAGTAATGTGTGGGGCAAACGCCTAATAATTAATAATGTAAAAGACGCACCCTACAGATCAAGGGATGAAATCACTAAATTGTTAATTAGTATTAACAATACTTTAATTAAACACAATTCAATAGGAGCTCCATAATTAATTAGTTCTTATGAAAAATTATGCTAGTGATGCAGTTTTCTTATTTTTTTTAATACTGATGAACCAGAAGTGCCGTGAATAAGATTGTAGTGACCTCCCTTGCCGAAACTTTCAGGGCGCCCATGTTTACAGTATTTTAATCCAACAAGTAGTTAATTAAACAAAATACTATGTCTAACAAGAACCACTCTGGTATGTGAATCCAGCGTATACAGCTAATTTAATTGATACACCATGGCGGAATTCTTCAACGTGTAAGCCTACAAGTGTAACACACTGACCATCCTAACAGCACATTCAATGTGTCGTTTGTGTGACTATGCGACACGTCCCAGATAAAATTGGTGCATACCATTAGAGACCTGACGAGGGTCGTGACAGACGATATAAATTATTGCAGCACACCTACACACATGGGAGTCAGAGTCAAGGGGGATAAGCGTGTCTAAACGCCGAGGAGTCGGAATTTACCATTGCAGTGACGAACACAACTGATGAGCCTAGAGGTCTTAAGTAAAAACATCTCAGTTTTAAAAGCTTTACCTTTCATTTTTATTTTTTATTTTTAATGTGAATGTACCAGATTCAGCTAAAATTCCAATACTAAACACTATTAAATAATACATATTCTTGAATGTTATTAACCCTGTTTCAACAATTTATGTACGGGACATTGATGTTTGTTACGTTTAGCTATATAAAATGCATTTGCATTTAATTAGATTGCCTGAAGAAACATAATTCAGAAAACCAATCTCGCATCACGATTAATATTAATTTATATTAATATAAATAATAGCTAATATTCACATTTGACAAGCAAATAGAACGGAATTAAGTTTTAAATAATTAAGTTCAGATTTTAAAAATCTAATTGAATCTATAACTTGTAGGTCCTATACTATAAGTAAATAAAATTTTAAAAACATATGCTTCGAACATGCAATTTCAATTCCTTTTTTTTCTCTCTTTGCTTCACCTCAGACTTGTAATTTATAATTTTTGGTATGTAGCCTAGATCTACTTGAGACAGAAATACAAAACCTCTTAATTAGCCTAAGACTTCCCATTTATATCAGAATTCGCTTAAAATATTTAAAGGGTATGAAGCTAAAACTGGTTATGCATAATAGTTGCCATAAATAGTAATATACGTATAAGAAAAAAAAGAGATGGGAAGAGAGCTAGAGAGAAGGGCACACTTCAAGAAACCCATTTTGTTTAAATGGGTTAACCTCGAGAGGTTTGAGGTTAAATTTCGTCGTGCTGTGTCAAGCTGTTGAAATGTTATTAACGGTGTTGTGTCCCATTGACTTTGTTACGTCCCTTGATTTTTATGGTGTTATACACCTTGTATGCTATTATTTAAAAAAAAATGCACTAAAATTTAATGTTGGCTATTTATGTATAATGACACATTTACCAAAAATTTATATATTTACCTTAGTAAAAAATGTTTTAAAAGTTTTTACTTATTCCTACTTTAAAAAAAAAATCCTCAGTTAGTCCCTATACACAAAGATCCTACACACAATGATAAAAGCAGAAGTTTAAAATAGACTACACTAGTCAGACGTCATAAAACAAGCGAGTTCAAACACTCCTAACTTTTTAATTACAACCTTTTATCTTGGAGGGGGGGGGGGGGGGGGGGGAAGTGATTCACTATCCAAAGCAGCAGTTAAAAAAAAAGCTGAAATTTCGTTTTATTGTTTTTGTAGAGCGCGTTTTACGCTCTTTACGCTAATCAAATAAACACCAATAAAATGATAAAATTATAAAGAAAAATAATTAAAATAAATAGAATCCACTTGAGATCGGTTTTTGTGATGCCGACATTTCGAATAACTACACACACTATACAGATGAACCTTCTTATAACACGGCTGAGCTTTGCATAACATGAGATCCAAATACCAAAACATTTACTCATAGCTGACCAAATCGTGACATCTTAATTTTGTTATGGGGTTTGTGAGACAGCATAAACACTGACTTCTAAAAATAGCCAACAGCGACGTGACGTGCTACACTTGTGTTGATATCATTAGCTATTTAATCCAACTGGAATGACCTATTTCCCATTTTTGAAAAAAATCAACACACTCTCCGTACAGCACATCATAATTACGTGTGTAATGAAATACTTGACTAGGGCAAGGTGTGTTCGAAGAATGTGTGCGGGGGTGGGGGTGGAGCCAATGGGCTGTTGATATACTGGTGATAACAGTAGCGACTATGGTTCAGTGGCGTGCCTTGGGGTGGAAGTAGCG